TCCAAACTCTTCATTTGACAGATGAGCAAACTGGAATGCAAGGCCTGCCTTGCATCCTCCCAGAGAGTCTGACAGACCGAGTGTGCTAGGAGGCTCACACCAATGCCTCGGTTAGGACATTTAGGATTCTGCACTTGGCCCTGGCCTCCCGAAGGAAGAGTCCCTCCCTAAAACCAGCCAGCAGATCACAAGGCACATGATCTTGAGCAAATCCTTTAAAATCTCAGCATCTCAGTTTCCCCTCCTGTAAAAGGAGACAGCCTTATAGGTGCCTTCAAGCTCTTACAGCTAGGAGCTCTCAAACTCTGACAAAAGAAATGCTGCCTATCTCCCATTTCCATCTTCCCTCATGTGCCTCCCAAAGAAGGCATCTCTGTACATTCCTTAGAACTGTCACACTCGGTTCTTCAGAAAAGGCCACATCCCAGGCCCTTCCTTGTTGCCAGCTTCTACTTCTTCTCCTCAGCCATATTCCAAGGGAGCTCAGTTACTCAGCTGGGAAATATCTCAGAGCCCTTGAAATATCACCCCAGTGGGGTCAGTTCTGTACTCGCCACTGCCATCTATGCAAAGTGCTTGGAGCAAGCAAGGGGGTCGAGGGGATTCTGCTTCTAGGGAAAAGTCCTGGAAAAACAGCATACCCACATTGTGACCAAGGTCAGTGAGCAGCAAGTGTCAAGCGGGTGGTGCCCAGGCAGGGCCCGGTCCCTTCGGAAAGGACTTTGCCTTAAGAAATCCCAGGAGCATTCTAATGGCAATGGATTCCAATTCAGTAAACATCACTGCCCAGTCCCCTGAGAAGGTTCAAACTAAAGGGGCTTTCTAACGACTTGGAAAAGTAGCGATTCTCCAAGCTGGGCCTAAATGAAACAATGGAGTAAGAGGCAAGTGAGCTGTCCGATGAGCCAGCAAGGCCCTAGGCCTGGGAGCTCCTCGGGGTTAACTGCAGGGTCACTGTCACCTGAAAGTCATCAGCTGTCCTCCCTCTGCCAGCTGCCACCTAAAATGGTTTCCAATATGGAGCCATGCCTGGAGATCTACAGGAGCCCAAGGAGTCTGGAAGGTTTGGGGACAGAAGTAGGCTAATCCGATCTCCCTCCCTCCATGAAACAAGGGCTCATCTTAGAGGTGACCCTTTGGCAGCAGGGTTGGGGGGTGGGGGTAGGGGATGACAAATTGGCACTCTCCTCCTCCACACCCCTACCCTGCCTTGAGCATCCTCTGGGAAATGGCCCAGGAGCAAACCAGTACAGAGCTCACGTGGGCTCCTCTCAATGCACATACCAGGGCCATTGGGAGGCCTAACAAATACTCATTAAGCACCTAGACCTTGCACTAGGCAGGGATACAGAGATGGAGGACGCCAGTCTCTTCACTCAAGGGGATCGTGCTCTTATGTGAACTGGACGTGGAAGATGAGCAAGGACATGGCCTGAGAGACCCAAATCCTGCTCTCCTCTGGCCAAGGGCCCCAAGAATGATTTCAATAACTGAAAAGCCAAGGGGAAGTTTATAGGATGGCCATTGGAAACATCAGACTGTTCAGTGACCTGTTCTGATCTCTTGTTGGTGGGCTTTAAGCCCATGGTCTTCCTGATTTCATGGGAAACCACGAAAGCTGTCAGCTCCAAGAACTTTAGTGGTCTCGGGACTACCAGGGCTTTCTAGCTGGAACAGTAGCCAGAGGCAGCGGCGCCCTCTAGTGCTCAGCTCAGGGAGGAACAGGGGTGAAGAGGGGCCGGCATCTCTTTTCTCCCTGTCCCAAGGTGTCTCTGTCAGAGGCTGCCCGGCATAGTTTCCATTTTCTCTTTCATTAGACTGAACCAGGCAGAACCAACCAGGTCTTCCCTCTTCCTCCTTCCTGTAAGAATAAGCTGGCTTATTTTGGAGGCTAAGAGGATCCAGCAATCTTTTTACAACGGTGTTCCACACCTAAGTGATAGACTAAGGATGGTAACCAAAACACTCCAGGTTTGACACCAAATACTGAAACACTTTGAAAAACACCTTCCTGCTTCCCTTCACACACAGCCAAGTTCCAGGGCTGCTTGCCTACTTTTTTCTCCTCTTCCCAGCTCTTTTTGCTTATATTCTGTCCAGTCTGGAGACTCTGATCCTACCACCTCCGACACATTTCTAATCAGGCCCTTCTTCATACGCCAACCTCACCAGGCCAGCTAGCAAACAAGGGACGCTTTATTGCTCCGCCGGCTCTGCCTGACGTGGGGCCATATTGCCCGTGTGTGCTCTGCTACCTGGTCTGGCACTGGAGGTCCCGACAGGTCCAAAGACTGGGGGGCTCTGTTAGCAGGATGAAATCCCGCCAGAAGCAGGAAGTTGACCAACACCACAATCTCTAGGTGCACATGGTCCTCCCTCCAGGCACTGAAAGGTGGATAATTCCCACCTGCCTCAATCTCTCTCCAAAGGATTTCTGGAAATGAGCAGCTAAGGTGCAGCAGCTTCCCACCCAGGCCAAATTCCTGTGGCCTTGAGCCAGAAGTCTCTAGGAGAGGCTCCAGGCTTGCTGGTGTGGGGCTTCAATAAATGCCTTTGACAAGGAACAGTGAACGGTTAGGACTGATTCACTTGAGCTATTAAACCATATATTAATATGACACTGTCATAAATTTCCCTTTCCTAGGCAAAGAAAAGGACGCGAGTACATTGAAGGCCAAACCCTGCAGAGTTTGCCCTCTCTGCTCTCATTTTCACCATCTCATCTTGACCTGGCTTCCTCCAAAGCCTCTCGAGCTCACCATCCCCACCCTGACCTTGCCTTTCTCTTGTTCTTTGTCCCAGACTCTCAAGGTCCCCCTAAGCCACGAGACTCCAAGGCTGCCGCTACTTAGAAGGTCTGTCCCCTAATCCACCCCGCTGGCCCCTAACGTCATCTTCTTGGCAATGATCCCACCAAATGGTTCTCTGATGGATCTGGAGGCCCCTGGGGCCCGGTCACTTCTAATAGACAAGAATGAATCATTTACTTCTGCCATATCTGCATGATGTATTATCTGAGCAGTGAGTGTCCTGCCTCCCAACCCTGCTGCTAACAGCCAGCAGAACAGCGTTTCGCAATATGGTGCCTTTTCTGCCCTCCTCGCCAGGTTCTAATAGGACTCCTCTCTTTTACTTTTCAAACTGTCTCCTCAATAAACATTTATTAAGCACCTACTACATAGAAGGTTCTGGGGACACAAGGACAGGAAGGAAATTGTCCCTGAGCTGAAGGATCTTACATTTCACTGGGAGGGTTACAATATGTACAGAGATGAGGCCGCTTAGGAGGAAGGGAACTCTGGTTAACAGAGTAGGGGGATAGAGGGGAGAGATTGAGGATGGCCTCGTGTAGGAGGTAGCATCTGAGCTGAGCCATTAAGAGACATGAGGATACTAAGAAGCATAGATGAATAGGGAGGGCGTGCATGCCAGCCCTAGGAGGGAGACAGACTGTATGAACGCACAGAGGCAGGAATTGTGAGGTCTGAGCAGAGCTAGCAGTGCAATTTGGCTGGCCTGGAGAGTTTGTGAAGGGGACTAGCGTGCAGCAAGGCAGGAAAGGTTAAGTGGGTAAGGAATCTGGGCTTTTTCCCAGGGGCCCTAGGGAGCCACAGAAGGCATATGAGCCGAGGGGAGGAAACATCCCATCCCTGGGCCTTAGAAAGGCGACTTCAGCAACTAGATGGAGAAAAGGTCATAAAGAGAAAGGAAAACGAAGGCAGGGAAGTCAGTCAGGAAGCTGCCATGAAAGACCAAAGGAGAAGTGGGGAAAGGCCTGCACTAGCGCAGTGGCTGTGTAAAGGAGACAAGCTGATGGAAGTCAGAGGTACGGGAGGACAGAAGCCATTGGCTTCGGTAAGTGATAAAATGTGGGGGCTGGGGAGGGGCAGAAGGAAGAGCCAAACAGGCCTCAGATTCCCTTGGGCCTGAGGGACCGGGCATGTGCTCAGCAAAAATAAGGGAGCCTGGGGGAGCGAGAGGGGGTCAGAGAACATGCTCTGCTTGGGGAAGGTGGAAGCGAACAGCAGGCAAGTGGAACTGATGACCGGGACTGCACTGGAGGGAAAGGGCTGGATACACACGACCAGGAGTCACACACAGAGTTTAGTGATAACTGAATCCATGGGAACAGATGAGATCACTAAGAGAGGGAGTCAAGAAAGGGAGAAGGGCCAGGAAATAAACATTGATCAGGCACCCACTATGTGCCAGGCACTGCTCAGTGCTTTAGAAAAATTCTCTTATTTGATTCTCACAACAACCCTGGGAGGGTAGGTGCTATTCTTATCCCCACTTTACAGATGAGGAAACTGAGGCAGATAGAAACCATGGGACTTGCCCAGGATCACACAGCCAGTAAGTGCCTGAGGCCACATTTGAACTCAGGTCTCCCTGACTCCAGGCCTGGTGCTCTGTGCACTGTGGTGCCCCCTAGCTGCCTCTAGAGAAGAAGGAAGAGAAAAAGAGGGCTCAGGTCAGAGCACTGGGGGACACACGCACACCTGGGGAATGTGAGGTGAAGGCTGGGAAGGAGCAGGCAAGCAGGTCATTAGCCAGATTTGGAAAGGAGCTCAGGGCCCAGCTATCATCAGGAGCAGGAAAGAAAAGGAAATTTGCATTTTCCAATGAGTCATCTCATGGTTCCAAGACGGTGCTGCTCCCAAAGGAGGCCCCTTCTGGTCCTGGCCCGCTGACTCTCTGTACCTGGCAGAATGGGAGCTCCTTGAAGACCAGGACTGTGTTATAGTCCCAGCACTTAGCACAGGGCCTGGCACAGAGAAGCCCTATTGTTCTCAGTAGCTAGTCAATAAACATTAAGTCCCTACTACGTGCCACGTACTGTACTAAGTGCCAGAGATACAAAGAAAGGAAAAAAAAAACACAAGGCTCTGCTCCCAAGGAGCCCCCAGTCTAATGGGGCGGGGGGGGTCGGGGGAAGATACCCAAACAAGCAAGAAGGGGGATCTGGAACTGGGCTGAGGCCCCAGCAGTCAGCGTACCTCCCAGGTCTCTGTCAAGTGGAGGGACATCATCTGTCATGGAGAAGTCCAAGGTGGCCCCCGAGATCTCCACCAGATCTTCGTCACTGGTGCTGCTGTGGAAGCTCCCTCTCCGAAAGCCTGGGTTGTCCATGGTGTCGCTCCCAGAATCTGGAAGGCGGCAGAGACGAGATAGGATGGTGACTGATAGGGAGGGCCTCTAGTACCACCCTCCTCCTTCTCAGTGGGCCTACTGAGTGTCTTAGCTCAACAACAATGAGGACAAGGTAGGGTCTCCAGCAAGCAAATCACATGGATGGCCCCAAATGATACATCTGCCTAGAACAAAAACCACAAGTCAGGGTTGACTGACAGACCTCAAGAGCAGGAGTGGGCAGCCCCATGCCTCCACTTTCCTGGAAAACCCACCGTGGGGTCTGAGAGAAAACTGCCTGGCTGCTGCACCACACCACTTTCTCCTACGTGGACTTTGGCCTCAGTGGACAGTCCTGGCAGTGGGATCGAATGAGGAGAGGCTGAAAGACAGTGTCCCCAGAGCAAAGCACTCATCTAAGATCAACACTGAGGCTATATTCTAGAAACGGCATTGCTCCTAGCAGATGCCACTCACTGCCATGATACAGGGACGTGTGGAGAGAGATTGAGAGGAAGCCACAGTCAAAAACACTGGGGAAGCCAGGTGGCCATGGACCAGCCTCAAAGGCAGAAGGCAGAGTCAAGATGGAGTGAGTGATGCAGACGGGGCTGGATCTCCTCACAGCTGAGAAGAAGAAAGGCCGAAAAGGCTCACAAACAACAGGGACAGAAAACACAGAGGGGACATGTCCGGGAAAACTGGCAAGGGAGAGATGGTTGGCACACCAGGAGAAATTGAGCAATGATGAGCATGGGGAACCAAAGAAGAGTCTGAAGGGAGTAAAAAAATCGTGGGGGTGGGGTGGGGGAAGGGACTCAAAACTAGAATACAGAACCTTCCCAAAGGTCAGGCTACAGAGGGCATGGTGCCAGGAGCAGGGCAGCCAGCAGTTTCCTAAATGACATGCACACACACTCCAGAGCTCAGCCTCACTATTCACGCAGGAAAGACCAAGCGGATGAAGAGCCTTCATTGTCCAGGCCAGGCTAGGCAGCTGGGTGGACAGCTCAGAGAGCTGAGCCAACAGTACAGGAACTTTGAGCACACGGAAAAACGGCCATGAACTGGGCTCAGAATTGGACAGGATGAGGAAGACGAGGTTGAACAAACTGTCTTGGCAAAATGACATAATTTTTTCAAAGACCCCAAGATCTTCCAGGAAACACAGGCTGGTTTTTTAACACCAATACTCTTCTGGCAATGTTGCATGGCTAGACCAGTCTCTGTAGAACTGTAGGTGAAGACCGCCCAGTGGGGAGCTGGCTGCGAGACGTGCCAGATCGAGGCTTGTGCCGGTCATGCAGTCATGCTATCAAGAATGAGGGATCCCCACAGCCAGCCAGCAGACACCCAACATATCTGCACAATGGAGAGATGAGGAAAGCAAGGCCCCCGACACTTGGGGTGGGCTCGTGTGGCCCAGGCAGAGAAGACATTGACAAGAAGAGGTGCACCCATGGGGCAGGCATACAGGGGGTGCAATCTGCACTGCTGCAGGAAGCCACCAAAAGATCAAAAGGAAATAAGGGAGAAAAGACAACCGAAAAACCTCCCCCAAATCCAAAGAAGCAAGCAGAACAGAAAATGGATTTGTGCATAGCAAGAACTAAAACGATGTGTCTCTTCCCCCAATCGTGGAATTATCAAAATAACCGGAAGGGAGGGAACAAGCATTGATACAGCACCTACTATGTGCTAGGCACTGGGCTAAGCACTTTACAAGTATGATCTCACTTAATCTTCACAATAATCCTGAGGGCACCTGGTACTCTTATGATTCCCATTTTACAGTTGAGGAAACTGAGGCAGACAGTGGTAAAGTGACTTGCCCAAGTTCTCAAAGCTAGTCAATGAGAGTTCTGTTCCTGACTTCAGGCCCAGTGTTCTCTCTACTGTGGCATCCCCTAGCTAGAAAATAAGTAGATTCCAGTGAAAGATCTATATCCAACAATCTCTAGATTCCTTCAGACATCCCAGATAAATTAGAAGAAGAAAACTTCCCAGAGTTGGAACAAACAGGCAGCAAGAGAAAGGCCCCCAAAGGCCCTGATGAAAAACACTGAACACACCTAAGCCCATCCTAATCCAACTTGGAGGTTCCAGAGTCAAGTCCCAAACCCTGCACCCACTGCCAGAAGAAAACCCAGAAACCACTGGCCAATGAGCAGTCACTTTTCAGAGAGAACCAGGGACAATCAGGGACACTGGAAAAGAGAACCTGGGCCCCCCAAAGAATCCCCGACTCAGCCCAGCACATTGGGCAGGAGCCGGGCACTTAACAAGCTCGCTGTCTCCCAACCAAAAAGAGAAGTAAGGCCATTTGCACTGCTCACATCAAGAGCAACCAGTTGGAGAGAGGACAGAACAAACTGTGGTTTATGAAGGCAATGAACAGAGAGCAGGGAAGGAGGACTTCCACGAGCTGAGTGTGAAAGCAGAAGCTGGGCCGAGTGCACCATGACTACAGATGGAAGTGAGCACATGCAGAACATCGGCTTTCAGGGGAAATGCACTGAACAGCCCAGCTGGGATGTGGAAGAGCCGGAAGAAGGTGGCCAGCTCCAGCTGTGCACTGCTGGCCAGGGCCACTCTAGCAGAACGGGCCTAGGGAGGGTGGGTTTGAGCAGGTTGTGACCAGGTACTCCCCCACTCCCGCCCGCCGCCCCCCACACACACACACACACTCAACAAATGCTTCTTGTTGACTGTACTGAAATCAAGAAAACACCTAAAAATCATCATCTTGCCCTTCTCATTCTATGCTCAAAACTCTCCACTGACTTCCTAGTGCCTCTAAGATAAAATACAAAGGTGTCCAGCTGGCATTTAAGGCCTTCCTCAATACAGCTCCATACTCCCCCCCCCCCCCCCCCCCCTCCCCTCCATATGCTGCTCCTCATTCCTCCCACGTACCCTCTCTTACCTCAGCTTCTTCCTCATGCACCGCCTCCTCCAGGGGAGAATCCCCCCAGTTGTTAATACTCCCTTCCTCCTGTACTGACTTATCTGGGCATGTGTAGATTTGCCTTCAGAGAATATAGGGTCTGCTCCCACAGCCCAGTACAGATCAAATCAGAAAGTATCAGCAGCCTGCTAGGAGAGCAGCCCAAGCATCCGGGAGAGAACAGAAGATGATGCCACAGGCAGGGTGGCACCGGGACCTGCTGCCGGCTCAGTCTGCCCAGAACTTCAAAAAACAGAGGGGGACATAAAAGACATTCCTGGGTTTATGAGCAATCAATCCTGTTCTCCTTGTTCTTTGTGTAAGGAAATGCTCCTATTTGTTGATATTGGTCAAGGTCAAAACAGAGGATTTTTTCCAAGGGCAAATGGAAAGGCCGAAGTCCCAGTTTTGTGCAAGAAGTCAGAAACCCACTGGCCACGTGTTCCCTTCAGGGAATCATTCCGGACAGCCTGGGTCATAGTATCCGTGGGAATCAAGGGAAAGTCGAAACTTTGATAATCCCCAAATCATGGCCATTTGGCCCTGGAATGTGTCTTTAATGCGATACATGAGGTGGCTCTATGTGCTAGTCTAGAAACTCCCTTCAAACAAAATGATGAAGGTAGGAAGTGAAGGCTTGACTCGAGAGGACTCAGGAAGCAGTTTAGCCAAAAGCAGCATTCTCATCCTCTCTCTCTGTTTCTGTCTCCCTCTCCTTCTTTCCTCCTGCCTTAAATACTAGGGTATGGAGTTTGAACGTGATCCTCTGGGCAATCTCTGAAGAAGGGCACACGCTTGCCCACATTGCTTGTAAAGGCCTTCAATGTTTCTCCTCGTTTGGGCAGAAGCAATTGGCTCATGTTGCAATAAATGAACCAAATTTGCAGAACGGCCACTTCTCATGAGCTGTTCTAACACAAGGGAACTGGGGATGCCTCCTGGAATTGGTTGTACTCCAGAGATAATAACTTAGAGTGGGAGCTGATGAATTCACCAAGAGCTTAGGGAGAGGGAGAGGGAGAGGGAGAGGGAGAGGGAGGGGGAGAGAGAGAGAGAGAGAGAGAGAG